CCTAACAGCTGAGTGAACAGCGGCGACATTTACGAAGCCAAAGAACCCTGGGGGAAGAGCAGGGTTGTGGGGTAGAAATGAAGTTTCTCTTTGGACACTTCATGTTTGGAGGGCCTGTTAGACGCCCGGGTGAAGATGCTAAACAGGCGGCCATGCTTACACACCTGAGCTCAGGAAAAAGCTGGGCTTTATAAAGAGGTTGGGATTAGCCAGGCATGGTGGCGGGTACCTGTAATCCCAGCTACTCAGGAGGCAGAAGCAGGAGAATCACTTGAGCCCAGGAGGCATAGGTTACAATAAGCCAAGATTGCGCCACTGTACTCCAGCCTGGGTGACAGAGTGAGTCCCTATCTCAAACAAACAAGCAGGCCGGGCATGGTGGCTCACACCTGTAATCCCAGCACTTTGGGAGGCCGAGGTGGGCAGATCACCTGAGGTCAGGAGTTTGAGATCAGCCTGGCTAACATGGTGAAACTCCGTCTCTACTAAAAATACAAAAATTAGCTGGGTGTGGTGGTACACACCTGTAGTCCCTGCTACTCAGGAAGCTGAGGCAGGAGAGCCGCTTGAACCTGGGAGTCGGAGGTTGCAGTGAGCCGAGATTGTGCCATTGCACTCTAGCCTGGGCAACAGAGTGAGACTCCATCTCAAAAACAAACAAACAAACAGATGGACAAACAGTGTTGGGAGATACATGTTTGGGAGTTGTCACTGTATAGAGGTGTTTTACACTATGAGACAGGCTGAGTGCAGTGGCTCACACCTGTAATCTCAGCACTTTAGGAGGCCGAGGCGGGCAGATCACCTGAGGTCGTGAGTTTGAGATCAGCCTGGCCAACACGGTAAAACCCTGTCTCTACTAAAAATACAAAAATTAGCTGGGTGTGATATGGTGGGTGCCTGTGATCCCAGCTACTTGGGAGTCTGAGGCAGGAGAATCACTTGAACCCGGGAGGCAGAGGTTGCACTGAGCCGAGATCACACCACGGCACTCCAGCCTTGGTAACAGAGCAAGCCTCTGGCTAAAAAAAAAAAAAAGGCTGGGCACGGTGGCTCACGCCTGTAATCCCAGCACTTTGGGAGGCCGAGGCGGGTGGATCACAAGGTCAAGAGATCGAGACCATCCTGGTC